TTTCTAATTTTTGAATTACACATATTTCCATGGAATATTGTTCATAGATATCCTCGGGCATTTTGAATCACACTATTCAAATGTCAAATCAATCAAGTATTATTGTTGACTCGAAGAAATCATGATTTGATTAAAAATTTTAAGTCACTTGGTCCATTTTTTTTCATTTCTGAAATTTCAAATCAAGGTCTCTGATCGCATTTTTACGCATTTTGATGCTCGTATACAGGGTGTTTAACTGAGAAACAAAAAATACCTCAACAATGGATAGAGGTCGCCAACTTGGTTCTGAATGTACCATATTAATTTTACAGTCACGAAAGAAGATTATATTAAGGGTTCACCGGCTTGAATGAAGGTGGCGGTACGATAGCCGTTCGATAAAACCAATTATTTGACATTGACGGATATCTAACAGCTACATTTCTTGTAGCATTCACAATTTCGAATAATTGTCTATAAGTGGATAAATATTGCAAAGGCTATATAACTATGGTATTGAAGTTCGACATAATCTAGTCTCGTCGATAAAGGTCAATAATGTTTTATGAGATGGAGCTGTTTTTCCATATAATATATCTATCTTGATTGGTCCGAACCGATGTTTCAACACCAAGTCAAGTATTTCGCTAACTATCTTAGCATCTCCATCACTGACCTAGTGATTAATAATAATTTGGATTAGCATAATAACTGCTAACTCCTCAGCTCAATCATTGGTTGCCATGAATATAAACAAATGAAATCTTCAATATTATAGAAATGAGTTTAAATCAAAATGTTTATAATTCAGTTCCTAACCTCTATTGGAAAAACATTCAAGTGTCACTAACAAAACTAGTTATCAACTTCATTACATTTTTTATGAACGAATTGATACCTTTCTGGGGAATTTGACAATTTTGGTAGATATTGAAGCAGTTCTCATCATTTCGTCCAGCTTTGATAGCCGAATACAACGGAGTATCAGAAATGAAGCTCAGCAACCAGTCGTTGGTAGCTACACCGTCAACTATTTTCTCCATGCTGGTACTGTTTCCGGTTTTGACATTATTTGCTGATTTCCTAGCAGTAGAACACAGGGATCGCTGAATGCAAGATGTTGCATCAATATTGTTTTCCATCAAAGTGTTGTCCAGTATCGTCATGTAACGCCACATTTCAGAAGATTTGCTTTCATTTTCATCTAAAAAAAAAAAAAGGTTTTTTAGTCAAGTATTCCATTAATCATCGAAAAAATATTAGGGACATACCAAGGTTGGTAGAACTGATAATTATTTGTAGAAAAAGATTATCTCGAGCAAAAAACACTGTGAAGGAAAGTGGTAATATACAGGGTGAGTCATTAGTGTGGCGAAGTGAGATAATGGATTTACTGTTTGAGATAAATGGACAAACATTTCAGAGATTATCTAGGATCATGAGCAGCACATTTTCAAATTATTTCGCTTTTACAGGGTGACTCAGGAATGCGTGGCGTATCAAAGTCATACTTTTTCTTATGGGACACCCTGTATTTCATTGCATTTTCGCATTCTCCTTCGTGAGCTGATTTTATCAATGCATCACACTTTGGGTCTAGCGACAATGATTACAGAGATATAGGCTGTTCAAAATCGAGAGTTTTCAACTTTAGGATTTTTTTGCGTCTAAACTATTAATTATTTGTCAAAACGGCTTCCATGTCCCTATCCCAACTTCTGATTTGCTATCTAATGACATTTAATTGGAACAGATACAATAAGGTTGATCAGAATGCTGAATCTTGAACCACCCTGTATTTGTTCCAATTAAATGTCAGTAAATAGTAAATCAAAAGTTGGGATAAGAACATGAAAGCCGTTTTTACCAATAATGAATAGTTTCGACGCAAAAAATCCTAAAGTTGAAAAATCTCGATTTCGAACACCCTATATCTCTGTAATCATTCTCGCTAGACCCCAAGTGTGATTCATTAAGAAATCAGCTCACTAAGGAGAATGCGAAATTGCAATGAAATACAGGGTGTCCCATAAGAAAGACTATAACTTTGATACGCCACGCATTTCTGAGTCACCCTGTATAAAGCGAAATAATTTGGAAATTTGCTGCTCATGATCCTAGATCTTCTCTGGAATTTTGTGCATCTATCTCAAAAACCACTAAATAGCCTTTCTTTTTTTCGTCACTGTATATGTTTTAAAGACGAATCGTTCAAAAACGGTGATACATATTGGTGAAGAATCAACCCACGATTCATAGAGATGTATCAAAAACGAGTCAGGGATGTTTTTTTAAGAAAATATAAATGAAACCTTATTTCATTGTGCCTTTTTTCATATAACTGGAGGGTTTTTGATACCTTCTCTTCGATTTCATGTTTCGAGAGTAAAGGTGGATTCATGCATCATCAACTAAATTATAATGAATTTAAGATTTAAACGAATTTTAAATTAAAAATATATGGGTGTTCATGCAATAACCTTCCATCAGCTGTTTATTCTTTTTCCAGCGCGGCTAGTTATTATTTGGCGCATGCGTTGTCGTGAATTATGGAAGAAATTAATTTCTTAGTTGAATGTTGGCCATCTTTCTTAGTTTAAATTTCAGTTTTAATTTTTTAGTTTCTTGCATGAGCACCTACATTACATTTCATAGTTTTATATTATTGGTTTAAGTTTAAAATTCATTTAAGTTTTAAATTTTGCTTGCATGAATCCACCTATCTTTGTACCTATACAGCTGCTACGAATCTGTTTTTATTATGTTTATTTGTAAACCATAGGTAAGTTGTTATTGGATATTATTTCTGTATATCATATTCATAATGATGATTATATTTTTTCCAGATTGCTGATTTGATCTATTACCCCAATGAGAACTTTTTATAAAGTAATTCATGTGATGGTGGACGTAGTATCGTCTGATGTCATTGCCATTCATTCCGGCATTCCACAAGGATCAATTTTGGCTTCAGCATTGTTCCTACTTCATATCAACGATCTAGTAGGAGCCACTTGCCCTATCCACAGCTTTGCAGACGACATTACTCTCCATACTGCGATCTCTTCTAGAATTCCCATTTTTTCCCAGGAAACTGAGAACTAACGACGAAGGCAGGCCAATGTTGTCAATGAAGATCTTGCGGAAATTACAGCCTGGGGAACCAACAACCTAGTTGAATTCAACGCCCCCAAAAGTCAAGCCTGTATTTTCTCTAGGAAGGCGGAACTCAGTATGCCTGATATAACAATGTCTGGTACCACCATTCCCAACAAGACCACTATATCTATACTTTCTCATGGGAAAATCATGTCCGATCCATCGCAACAGCTGATCCATAAAAACTCGGATTCTTGTTCCGTGCGAAAATCTACTTTACACCTCAACCTCTTCTGATGATATACAGAGCACAGATACAGTCAGTTTGAGAATACTGTTCTCATGTATGGGGTTCAGCACCCGAACATACGCAAATGCTTTTAGATTCCATCCAGATTAGACTTATTCACCTGGTGGGTGATGTCACACTCACTAACTCTTTGACCCCATTAGAACACCGTGAAACAGTCGGCGACCTTTCACTTTCCTATAGATACCTCCACGGGAAATGTTCCTCAGAAATCTTTGCTATAATTCCATCACTAGCAAAACCAGTAAGACAGGCCCAGTCAGCACATCCCATCGTCGTCAACCTTGAAAAATGTCAAACATTATTCTACCAAAACTCGTTCATCTATACAACGGCAAAGCTTTGGAATTCTTTGCTAATGGAAGTATTCCCAAGAACTTACAACCTCCAGAAATTAAAAAAAAATCGAACATTATAGGAATTTCCTTTCGTGCGCCCCAATAGATGAAAAAAAAATGGATTACCGACAATTGGACGTGGTCAATTGGACGCACGAAAATTGGACGCGGATAATTGGACGCGGCGACAATTGGACGCGGCGACAATTGGACGCGACGAAAATTGGACGCGGCGACAATTGAGCGCATGCGAAAATAAAAATAATTTTATAATTCCAATGAAATTTATTGTATGGAATATGCAGGGCTCATATCTATAATATAACAAATACCTAACCTAACCTAACCTTCATATTTATTAATAAAAACAGAGGTTTGCCAAAATAAAATAAAATACACGATGTAGACTATTTATACTTGCAATTGAAAATTGTGTGCAATGCCTCGCAGGTACTCTAGAACTGGTCTGTTATTGTAATCAGCGACCACTGTTTTGATTCTTTGAGTAGTGTCTCGATACATATATAATTATGGATATAAGCTCATCAGTATTTCATATTTTATACAATGAATTTCATTGGAATTATAAAATTATTTTTTCTACATTCATGCAAAAAACAGAACTTTATCGAACTATATTTAGTGGAAAAAGAAGTTCTTTATTGCACTTAGTGCAATAAAGTTTTTATTGCACTCATCTGTCATTCTACTTCAACGTGCTGTCATCATGACAAACATTTTCTATAATGCAACTGTGGTTATAGAAACGTCAGTCAAAAATTAATTCTGACAATTAACAGAATTGTACCTAGTGCCGCACCTCAATAAATCATTTTTTGCTTTTTGCATGAACGTAGAAAAAATGTTGTATGCAACTCGTGCAAAAATTGTTTATTGCACTCGACGTGAAATTGTCCGACGAGGCCGTTAGGCCGAGTTGGACAATTTCACGTCGAATGCAATAAACATTCACTTTTTGCACTTGTTGCATAAATAACTATTTATTTACGCATGCGTCCAATTGTCGCCGCGTCGAATTGTCGCCGCGTCTAATTGTCGCCGCGTCCAATTGTCGCCGCGTCCAATTGACTGCGACCAATAGTCGTGCGTCCAATTTTCCACGTCCAATTGACGCGACACCGAAAAAAAATTGGTAAGTCATCTTTACTAGATTTTTACCACACTACATGCATGAATAGGTATATCGTTTGGAACCACCCTGTTTAGGATGGTGTGTCAAAACATATGCAATGGTGGTCATTAACTAATCATTTCAGTTGTCAGTCAAAAAATATCAGTGTCATAAAGTTTCAGTGATCTAAATTTTTGTATCGGGTATTGTGTGTTCAAATGTGTTTGGATCATGGCTTCTGTTGGGAAGTTATTCCTCTTGGAAGTGCTTGTGTACAAAATTCATCTCCAGCCAAATTTCGAAAATATCCCCAAAAAGAATGATGTAGCATTCAATATCAGATTTTCTGATATCATCAATAGCAATATCATACCAGAAGATTTCAAACTTCAGGGAGGTGAAATGGACGGTATGAATTTGTAGCGAAATATTAAATTTCTTACGTTAGAGGACGATGTCAAATTTTCTGAAAATGTAGAAACTTTCTTGGGGTACAGAATAAGAAATCGAAGTAGTACTACCTACTCATACATACATACATATATCGTATACAGAATAATAATAATAATAATGATAAAGTTAATTTTTCTCTATCTTTCAAAAACATATTTCTGAGTTGTGAATCATATTTTGTTCCTGCAAAAGGTGAAATATTGAATGTTTCAGCGAGTAAGTAGTACTACCTACTCATACATACATACATATATCGTATACAGAATAATAATAATAATAATGATAAAGTTAATTTTTCTCTATCTTTCAAAAACATATTTCTGAGTTGTGAATCATATTTTGTTCCTGCAAAAGGTGAAATATTGAATGTTTCAGCGAGTATCTGAAAAACTATAAGTTATGGCGAACTATTTTGATTTCAAAAGAGTTTATGTGCTTGGAAGTAGCATTCTTGTCCAACTTGATATGCTCATCCTCCTAAGCCCTAATAATGGAACTAACCCCACTACCAACATCATTTTGAAGTAATTCCGATTGAGAATACATTGGTGCACTTTTTTCAGGAATCGGTTGATATTTATCCAATTCATCAACATTATATTGATATAGGAAAATGAAATTCAGGACAAAAAATTGATTAGCTAGAAATCGTGAACTGAGTGAATGACATCATTACAATCAGTGACCTAAGTGGAAAAACATATTATAAAAAAACATTCGATTACAAAAACTATACCTATTCTCTCTCGAAAAAAAAAAAAAAGTTTTTCACTTTTTCCTTCCTAAGAATACTAAGAATAAGTAATTAGATATAGTTTCATGAAATGAATATCACAAATATAGGTGCATACAACAGTTTGTCATTTTCACTACTGGATGATATTAGTAGTCCTTTTCTATTTTCTTAATTACAATGCTTGAGGCTTGAGTGAATGAAAGAATAAGAGACATATATTCCGGTCTCTGTCTTTTTTAGAGGTTATAGAAAATTAAAAATAGGGTATTAACACCCACTTCAATTTATGCATATTACAACATTTTAATATGACCAAAAAGACACACGTAGATTTACTCATAGCTAGTTCGGTCGGTGGGCCTAAAATATAGTTTCATTCTAATCTGCTGTTATGAGAAGTGAATTTTGATGTATGTACCTCACAAATTCTGCTTGTCTTCAAATTAATTTCCTATCCAGGCCGTTCCATAGATACCTTCCATTTATGAGCATGGTTGAAATTTCCTTTGGAAAATTGAATAAATGGATTCCATTCTCTTCAGAATTCATTACACAGCAGGAATAGTTTATGAAATTATATTTCAGTTCTGACGTTCATGAAATGTATTTTCAAATCCAGAGTATTGTGAATGGTTCCTCGCTTGTTCATTCTGAATGAACAAGCGAGGAACGACTAGGGTGCTCTTGTCACAATGCAAGATGTGTAACTTATTGAATCTAAACATTCAAATACACTAACAGTTGTCATTTCTGTGTCCGAACTAACTCTTATCGAACTAATACCATCCAGTGACTAATTATTACAAGCTTTTTTTAGTTTCACCTGTCCCGGTGTCTGTCTGTGTGTAATCAAATCTTGCAAGTTAAATGTGTACAAACAAAATGGCGGCTCCAAAATGGCGCATGAGTTTTGTGATTATGATCCGATTCTATTCAAAATTGGTATCTGGGGGTTTTTGGGGTCGGCAATTATGATTTTTGTTTCAAAATTGGAAAATTCAATTAGGCGGCTCCAATATGGCGGACGAGTTTGGTAATAATATGATCCGATTCTATTCAAGATTTGTATCTTGGGGTTCGGGTCGGAGATTATGATTATTTCGTCAAAATTGGACAATTTGAGATGGCGGATTCAATATTGTGAACGAATTATGTAATAATTATGATCCGATTCTATTAAAAATTGGTATCTGGGGGTTTCCCGGGTCGGAAATAATGATTCTTCTATCAAAATTGAGAAATTCAAGATAGTGGCTTCAAAACGGCGGATGAGTTTCGTGATTAAGCTCAGATATATTCGAAATTGGTATGGGGGGCTTTTGTTATCGGATATTTTTACGTTTTTAATGTTCAATAAAGGGCTTCAACTATTTATAAAATATATTATGTACATACATACATACATACAGTTGTGTGCATAAACAAGTCGAACAAGGTTTTTATGTTGTAAACCTGCTGTAAAGCTTGTTGCGGATAGAAAATAGAAAATCTTGCGCGGTAAGATTTTGAATCTGTTACAGAATAACCTAGATCAAACATGAGAGAAATTATGTTTTTCTTTTCGACTGCATTTGTATAGAAGCTCATGTTTAAAGTCTCTTTATTTTTTCTCTTGATTCATGCTAGAAAAATGGCAGTTGCTAGACGGGTTACAGAATGGCTAGCGGAGTGAAACTGTAACTTGAACTTAAAAAAAGCTCCAATGTTTTGTATTTCCAGAAGGGCTTATCAGTTCACTCTTGACCATCAACATGGGCAAGACTTGCCTGATTGTTCACAAACCCAAAGACTTGGTGTCGGAATTGAGGCGGTGTCCTTTGGAAGTGGGTTTCCAAATCAAGAGAAAAACGATTGGAACAGCCTTGATCCCTTTTAAGACGGAATTCGCCGATATGGTTAATATTTACGAGTCCATAGGAGTTGTGAAGTCTGTGGAATACAATGGCATTTCTGATTTGAAAAAGACACCCGAAGAAGAGAAAATCGGAACTATCGAGATATTCCTTCGTATGTCTTGTTATGGTGATAATATCGATACAGATTTCCGATGGTTTGAAGTTACCAATGAATATGTTTTCATGGAGCCGAAGACTACTGCAACATTCAAAATTGAAAGGTGAATACATTTTTCTGAAGACTCATTATTCAAATATTCGTGACATCTACAGGGTTCTCACTTTGAAAATTAATTTTGATGACTGCATTTAGCGCAATTTTCAATCACTATGACAACAAAATCGACTTTGACAACTTCGAATTATTTTTCGCCGGATATCCCTCTCAGACATTGACAAATTGATCCTCATAATCATATGACACATTTCTCTAGCCTTCGAGCCTTCGGCTTCGAGCTGTTACCAAGGAACGAGCTTCCGATTGTCATTAAATTTTCTCGTCTATTATCAATGTCCTAGGGATATTACTAATGAGAATTGATGTGATAAATGAAAATATTTCCTACTTATTTGTTCGTTGAAGCGATAGCTCTTGTTTCAATGGGGATACAAATTTATAATCTAAAAATTTTGCACTTTTCACCTATATCGAAAAGGACAATATGAAACGCTATGTTTGATATATTTACAATCAATCTATCTTTTCCTAAAGGTAGACAAGTTGAACTTGAAACACCCTGTACATCTTGAGTATCTAATAATTAACAGCACTAGTTCAACCTCAACTCTGGAAATCGTTAGAATTCAATAGTTGAAAATATGAACGAACTTCTTTGATATAAATCATCGCTATTAGAATTATTGGTAAAAGTGTTGCCATAATTTGGTTTTTTTGGTGTTCAGTAGTTGAAAATAATGTTTGTTCACTCTCTATAAGCTTTTATATTAGCAGGATTTGGACTTGATGGTGTTGAACAATGTCTTGAAATTGTATAATGAAACTTATATTATAGTTATCAAGTAATCTCAATGAATGTCTTGAGTGTAATTGCATAACAAATTGCAAATTACGTTTTTAATGTAATAATATTTATTTCATTCTTTGCTATAAATATTACATTGCATCTCATATAAATATAAATATATTTTATTCACATGCCCAATGAAATAACATGAACAATCAGACAGATTCATATCTGGTATGAGATTATTCATGCGTTATTAAATCTAAGTTATTGAGAAATAAATATACAGATTAAAAAAATAATAATAAAACAAAAAGCTAATGAAAAGTACATTATGACATGATGAAATAAATTAGTGAATGAGAAATCATTCACTCAGGTTTGATTTTCTCTTTGCAAGAGGATATGTTTCTTGACTTCAATTTCGAATTGGGTGATATTTGTGCAACTTTTGATATCATCCGGTAATTTATTGAATTTTGAGATAGCTCCGTTAGTGAACTTTTTTTGACCAAGTGTAGAATTACCAGCATCAAGATGTTCATATATTTGAGAATTCCTTACCAATATGAAGTTAGATTTGAGGTGTTTGTTGATAATATCGAAAGACATTTTGAGAGTATTTATCAGATAGTGCTTTTCCAAAGAATATGTATTCGTTTCTCAAAAAAGAAATATTTTTTAGGACAAACGATCATTTTGTGTGACGATGAAGGAGATTCCGCAAAACACAGTTACTCCAAATAAAAGTATCCGTCAAGCAATAACCCAGACAGTACAAAGTGATTCTGAGGACGTTCTCAGAATGTTTCCGTGGAACATTTCGAATAGTCTCAGAATGTTCTCACAAGATGTATTGAACGTTCTGAGAATATCAAGAACATGCAAATCATATCAATGAGAGTATTTATCAGATAGTGATCTTCCAAAGAAAATGTATTTGTTTCTTCATAAAGTTGATTTGATGGGGTGTTATATGGAAGACAGTACTTTTAATGCTTTTCTATATAGTACAGACATTTTTTTAAAATTATTCTTGGAACAGGAACCCCAAATATTTATGAGATCATTTTACTAAGAATGTGAGTGTATTTGCTATATTTGGCATACGTTTTGGACATCTTCTTAGGGCACCAACTATGGGAGAAATTTTTTCTTTGAGCATGCCAACATGCTTGTCCCATGTTAACTTTTCATCAATCTTTAATTCTTTAGTCTAATATTCAAATCAATATTTTGTTAATTTCTTTGATTGAAAATTATATATTGGGTCGTATTAGAATTAACGGAAAGAACATTGAAGTATAGTCATTCTTCCATTTGTTTCAAATCCTCATTTATGTTGTTAACTCTGTATACCTCTTACTTTTCGAATTTGGAAGTTTTGTCTCATTATTTTTGATAAATTTTCCCAACGTGTTATTGTTATTGGTAGAAATGAAGCTAATTTTCCAGTTGATGATCCGAAATAGGTTGAAGTGCTATAATTTCAATTATTATTCTCGATGGTAGAATAAACTTCTTGAATTGCTTTATTACGGAGTTGTCAAGAAATACCATTCTCTATCAAATCAACTTCCGTTGTTGACTGCAAGTTGTTTCATGACATGAATTCATTATTGAAATTCACTTCTGCAAGAGGGACGTTTTCTAGCCTGTGTATCATACTATTTATTATTCGCGGTTTTCAAGGTCATCATCTGACGTTGTGATGACGTTAAAACTAGGGGAAAAACATGTCTAAATTTCAATCTATGTCAGGAGTTAGGAATGTGTTCCCCCCAGTTCTAACGTCACCGCCACGTCACATAATGACCTTGAAAACCGCGAATATGCTGCAATTTTGAATGTTCTTTGTATACAAAATTCTGACACAATGAACACCTCATTGAACACCTCATAGAAGTCACATTTCCCGCGCGGTGTATTCTAGGCACCAACGGGCATTCACGTACAAAGACATACACATAACTGATCTATCACATCCCAGACATGTTAGACATAGGTTATATGGGAGTCTAGAGCCACAAAAAAAATTCTACGTTCGATGGTAGCAAGAAATTTGGCCCTAGTGTACAAAATACAACAGCGCGAGTAATTAAGGGTTATGGAAAATTGACAAATCATTTTTATCATTAATTAGTATCGATTTATTTTAGTTTTGACTTGATGACCAACACCAACGTAACTCCGATAACAAGCCTATACAACCCAGCCGTTTGCACCCCCGTTAGTACCACTACCAAGCGATTATCTTGGACCGAACTTTTCGGTGGTGGCAAAAGCCCAGGCGTCAAACTCAGTGTCGCTCCCATCGGGCTGGACGATTGCCCGATCCACATGGACATCAGCAGGAGGCAATCCAAATTACAACACACTATATCCATGGGTAAGCTTCGATCATACATTGTTGTTCGGAGTGGGTAAGTAGGTATCTATTGACATTTTCGGAAACTTACTCTAGGTCACCATCCCGATCCATATAGATCACGTGACGGATCACTCAGATCATATAAACTGCTCCACATTTGAAGTGAGACAAGCAAAAACTTCCATGATTTTCGAACCGTCATAACTTTGGTCTGGATCAACCAATTTCCAATTACTTTCAAGATTCTGATAGCTCATTCCATTTGGTACAACGTCAGTACTTTTTTGTTATTCCACCTTTTCGACATGAAGACCTACTGGGTGATATCTGAAAATGTGATAATTTTCGAAAAGTTTGGGATCACCCCGTTTCACCGGTAATTTTTTTTCATGTTTTATTGAGGGCGATAAAATGACGAGACAATGAGTTTTCTCGAAATGGTTTTGAATTCAAGAGGATTCATATAGGATGTTTGGATGTATGGAATTTTTTACAACATATTGCATACTGCGTTCAACCACCATAATCTCAACTTCAACAGAATTTTGCATTGGCATATCTTCAACGCCATTACTACACAATGTGTTGTACATTTTCGAATATAGGGGATGCAGAAATAAATTGAAATATTACGAAAAAAATGCCGTTAATAATCATTATTAACAAAATATTCATAATGAAAAAATGATGTGTATGAAATTGACATGGGGCGGTATCATGATGAATCGTTGCCCCACGTTGGTTATCTTGAGAGAGAGTATGAATATTCTTCGGTATCAATAAGACATTCATTGTGTTAGAAGGGAAAGTTGTCCTTCCAGTTGCCCAAAACTTTTGGTGACAATTTCATACTGGTTGATGATAATGATAATGAACTACCACATCGTGCGAGAATTGTCAGTGGAGTTTGAAGACAACATAATATTGCCTACTTTTTCTCTGTCACGTATTATTGAGCATATGGAAATTTCGAACTAGAATATCTTCGTAATCGTTCGAAATAACTCTCAAACCCAGTATTGTTGAATTCGTTATGATACTCCCTAACTACATATGGCATAAAATACAGGATGTCTCATTTGAAAATTGAAAGATGGGGTCGTTTCTGGTTAAACCGGGAAGTGATGAGAGAGTATGGGATTTTGAAAAATTGACCAATAATTCTCGAATTATATACCCCTGCCAAATTCGAATCTCATACCTCTGGAAATCTGGAAACCATGGTTTGTCTGAAAAATTCGATGATACCCGGTATGTTTGAAAATGTACAACACATTGTATAGTGATAGTGTTGAGCAGGATAAGCTGATCTAAAGTTCTGTTGAAGTTGAGTTTATGTTGGTTGAACATCAGAATGCAATATATTGTGAAAAATTCCATATATATCACAACTTCCTGTATGGATCTTCCTGAATCGAAAAGCATTTCGAAAAAACTCATTATGCTTCATCTTATCGCCTTCAATGAAACATAATAAAAATCCCTGCCAAACGGGGCGATCTCAAACTTGCCAAAAATTGCAATATAATGTGAAAGATTCCATACATCGAAACATCCTGTATGAATCCTCTTGAATCCAAAACCATCTAGAGAAAACTCATTGTCCTTCATTTAATCGCCCTCAATAAGACATAAAAAAACCCGGTGGAACGGGGTGATCCCAAACTTTTCGAAAATTATCACATTTTCATATATCACCCTGTAGGTCTTTAGATCGAAAAGGTGGAACAACAAAAAAGTACTGATGTTTTACTCAATGGAATGAGCTATCAGAATTTTGAAAGAAATTGAAAATTTGTTGTTCCAATCCAAAGTTATGTTTGAAAATGATAGAAATGTTTGCTTGTCTCACTTCAAATGTGGGGCAGTTTAGTTCACGAACGTATTAAGTAGTAGCGTCTGGGGAGTATACTTGCCATACATTTCAGAATGGTGGGGAGAGTGCAGCGTTGCCAGCGATCGCTTCTTCATTCGAATCCGAATACTAGCGCCTAGAGACAGGGTGTGTATAATCTCTGAGTAAACAAATTAAATCAGCGCGGCAAGTGCAGGCACGGCGACTAAATTCTTTCTTCATAGTACCACAGTTACTACGACTCGTGGCGTATTTGACTGTCCGTTTGAATCCCACGTCGGCGACCCGGGTTCAATGCCAGCGACTGTCGTTTTTTTTTAATTCTGTTTTCTCACGTGATTTTCCAAAAAAAAATAATAAAACGCCAAGATCGTGTTATTATGGAACAGTCAACGGCCGCCTGCCGTTAAACAATCTTAAAGGACGGAGGCTGTTAACATCAACTCTTCAATTGTCATCTGAATACCGTTAAATCAAAATAACAGTATGAGAATACGAAAATGAAATTAACAGTTGCGGAAAATACATGTAGGTCAAACTAGGATACCCGTTACAAAGAATATTCTGCACATTCAAAATATGACAGAATAAAAAAATCCCTATTTTGGAACATAAAATAAACAAATTGAAAACTTGAATTCGAAGAAAGATGTTAATGTTGATGAATATTCAAACACACTTGAATTTTCATAACCCAAACATAAGTGTTTATTTATCTTCCTATAATAATAGTTATACACAAGTAATACATATAGCCATTAGAATAGTTGCATTAATTAATATTATAATTAGAGTGTGAACGCAATATGAAGAACATATTGATTACCATTAGTGGATAAATTTAGAACAGATGATTAATGTTCATCTTCTAATTGACAGACATATTTAAATTACATCAAAATCTACCACCATTGGCGGGCATAATTGACAGTTGTATCAATCAAAATCTAAATCGCCAGTTGAATCGCATGTCAACTGATAGATGAACAAGATACTAACACCAATTACTACAAGGGTACAAGCTACTTTGAAAAAAAAACACAAACAGTTTACGTTAGCTCAAAATAGTGAAAATAGCGAGAGATACAGTTTCTGTCCAATAATGATAATTTAAACCTGACGGCGCCGACATATATTTAGATATAGTCACAGCGTGAAACATCTAATAAAGCTATCAAACATCATGCAGAGACTATCGATATAGCAAATGAACCTCTCTACGTTTGCTGTTACTATTATTTATTCTTCAGTCGCGAACAGTCATATGAAATCTATCAATTTCAATTGGTAATCTGCATCGATCCTTTCAATTGCCTTTAAATAAATACACTGTTAAATACATGTTAATTTATTTATGATTTATGTAGGAATATTGGACCAAGCTGTATATAATGAATAATTGAATGTGGTAGTTAGGGATTGTTATTGATAATTTATTTCATTCAATATTGTCATAAGATAAAATAAAATACATTTATTATAAAATCTATTCAGATTTATTACAAATGGCGCAGTCGGACCGAACTTTCGTGAGAATCAACTACCAAGGCGATTCAGAAGAATCTGTTCAAATACAGGAAGCAGAAAATATTCACCAACATTCATCTACTACGAATCACGGAATCCACAATCCAGATGATTCAATAAAGATCAATAAGGACGAATTGAATGAAATGATGTGTGAGTGGTTGAATTTGGCTACATTCAATAAGAATAATAACAGAATCACATCATTCAACGGTATGAATGAAGATCCCAATACATGGGTGGAATCATTTCAATGTATGGCCCTTTCGAATGGATGGAAAGAAGATGGTGATAAGATTTTCAACCTAAGATTCTTTTTGGAAAATATAGCATTGAGATGGTATGAAGACAGAATGAAGGACCCTTCACATGATTTCAACTGGGAGAATTGGAAAGAATCACTTATACAAACTTTTGATGAGGACAACATTATCAAATGGGAGAGAGCAATGAATTTCAAATTCAAGAATGGATCGCTCATAGAATACTTTTATGAGAAACAACGATTGGTCTACTGTGCGGACAGTAAATTAACAGAAAAAACGTTAGTAGCACTCATCATATTGGGATTGCCATTCTATATTCAGAACCAGATTCGGAGCAAGACACCATCTAATAAAACAGAACTCATTCAGAATTTTAAATACATTAAAGTTCGAAGCGAGGAAGATAATACCCGTTATGAGATGAGAAGCATCAATAAACCTAGACAGCAGTTGACTATGCAGAGTAAGAACAATGAGAAGACATCACTACAGAATCAAGAAGAAAGAAGGTTTTCTAATAATCATGTTGTAAGCAATTATTGTAATGGAATAACTAATGAAGAAGAAATAAATGATGAAGAAATTTATCACAGCTTTACTGTTCATTCAGGAAAAGAACGTGAAAACGAAAATATCAGAGATGTCACTATAAACGAAATAAAAATCAAAGCACTTCTCGATACTGGATCAGACTTGGACATTATTAATGAAAAATTTACAAGAAATCATGCTTGTCCTAAGTTTGAGAACGTTAAATTCATAAAAAGTTTAGCTGGAATAACAAAATGTAAACACGAAACTGAAGTTGAATTGAAATTAAATGGAAAGTCTTTAAAAATAAGACCAGTAATCGTTTCAAATTTAAGCTTCGATCTAATTATTGGACGAAGAACATTAAAAACATTACAGATATTTACTCCACTTAATGAACAAATAAAAATTATATTCGATGAAAATTATCTTCAAGAGAAATTTCCCAATGTGATCAAATATTCTGATACGAGTCCGTCCCAATTTGAGGTGGAATTTGATTTGGAAGAAGATGCCAAAATTGTTAGAATGAAGCCTTATAGATTTTCACCTAGCCAACAAGAATGGACTAAAAATAAAATTAGAGATATGCTGGAAAAAGGAATAATAAGACAGTCCTCGTCAAAATATGCTTCTCCCTGTGTATTGAAATCCAAACCCGACGGGACATACCGGTTATGTATTGATTATAGAAAATTCAACGAAGAAACAGAATTGGACCCATTCCCTTTTCCTATGATTAATGATATAATTGAGAAATTTGGTGGTTGTAAATATTTTACTAAAATTGACTTAAAAGACGGATTTTGGAACATCAGTATCACAGAAAAAACTCAACATTTCACTGCCTTTGTAACAAGTGATGGACATTTTGAATTCACCAGATTACCATTCGGCTGGAAGAACTCAAGTGCTAAATTTCAGAGGATTATGCAAACAGTTTTGAGTGACTTATTGAATGCCAAAGTAACCGTTTATATAGACGATATCATGTGTGGCGGCTATACGTATTCTGAATGTGAAGAACTGACTTTGAAAATACTAAGGAGGTTGAATGAGAATAATCTGAAGATAAATGTTGGAAAATGTAAATTTTGCGTTCCCAGTGTAACATTTCTTGGAAGAAACATAGATGGCGATATCAAGGTGATGAGAGAAGAAATTATAGAAAAAGTAAAAAATATGAAAAAACCGAATGACTTGAAGGCTCTGCAATGTTTTACAGGATTAACTAATCATTTCAGATCATTTATAAAAAATTATGGTATTATTGTGAAGCCACTTGACGAACTAAAGAGAAAGGACTCAAAATTCATTTGGACAAATAAATGTGATGAGGCTTTCAATAAATTGATAAATATAATAACTTCTGAACCAATCCTGAAAATTCCTGATCCTAGACTAAATTATGAGCTATCTGCTGATTCTTCTTATTATGGGTGTGGGGCAATATTATACCAACGGAACCCCAGTGAAGAAAAGAGCAGGCAACTGAGAGTAATTAGCTATTATTCATATACATTTTCTAGGAGTGAACAAAATTATTCAGTCACGGAAAAAGAGTGCCTCGCAGTTGTGAAAGCAGTAAAACATTTTCGTACTTACCTTGATGGAAGGAAGTTTATAGTACACACTGACCATAGAGCCCTTACACAGTTACTATCTACTGGCAATTTAAGGGATCGACTTGCAAGGTGGCAGATATTTCTCAGATCTTTCGATATGCAGATTAATCATAAAAGAGGTAAAGAAATACAAGATGCAGATGCAATATCTAGGCTGTGCATTAACATACCTGAAGACACCCCTGAGAGCTTTTGGTGTAATTTGAATATTCAGAATTTAGAAAAAATGGCTGATGGTAGGTATTTAGTGAAGAACAGAGATATGGTGACAGAAATCTTAACCCTATACCATGATGATCCATATTCTGGTGGTCATGATGGATATTATAAATGCTATTACAAAATCAAAAATCGATTTTACTGGAAGACGATGAACAAGGATATCAAAGAATATGTAAAAACTTGTATAGTTTGTCAGCACGTTACATTTAAATATCTACCCAAACCAGATTTCATCCACTTAACTTCGTGTTCAAAATTACCATTTGAGACCGTTCACATAGATTTTGCAGAAATCAGTAAAAAGTCAGATACAAATCAGTCCACTAAATCTTTCATAATTTTGGTTGATGAAGCTACTAGACATGTGTATGCTAAATCTTTGAAGGAATCATCAGTGGCAGTTCGAAATTATTTACAAGGACTCCCATTTGTGAAACAAATAAAAAATATCGTTAGTGATTGTGGCCTTGCTTTCACTTCAAGAATAATGTCAGAATGGGCGGAAACAAATGGAATAAATTTAATACAGACAAGTCCATATCATCCAGCAGGAAATGGTATTGCTGAACGGACAGTAAGAGAACTGAAAACATTCATGAAATATTATGAACATTTCCCAGGTGGTTGGAAGAAATCTTTGGAGTGCGCTGTTCAACATCATAATTCATCGCACAACGAATATTTAGGGTGTTCTCCCCATTTCAAGTTATATGGAAAATCGAAAATTTTGCAAGCCGATAAAGATCTGGACATTGATATCAACATTATGGAGAACCCAAAGACTGATGAAGAACAGAAGATATACAAAATCAGAATTCAAGAGCAAGCAAATAGGCATAAGAAAAGAAAGCCGCCTAATTTAAAAGTGGGTGATTGGATTTTGACCAGATATCAAAAGGTCGGAAAAGAGTATGTCACGAAAGGTCCATTTCAAGTTTGCAGAGTGAAATATATCAATGGCGTACTTGCTTATGTGAATTATCTTAATGAAGATAGAGAAGACAGTGCTCATATATCTAATATACGTCAATTCCATCACAGGAGTGATGTATGCTTTAAAGAAGGGGGTTTGTAGGAATATTGGACCAAGCTGTATATAATGAATAATTGAATGTGGTAGTTAGGGATTGTTATTGATAATTTATGTCATTCAATATTGTCATAAGATAAAATAAAATACATTTATTATAAAATCTATTCAGATTTATTACAATTTAGAAATGAAGTATATTTTTATTGAACACAACAGTATATGATATATTCAGTATTGGATTTTCCCTTAGTATTAAGTTATATTTTTACTTGAAGTTGAAAATATTATGGAAATTAAGGCAAGAATGCCACTAGAAGACACTTAAAATGATCGAAATTAACGTGATTATGCTTTCCCTACTGAAATGTGTACGGTGTTGAGGACAGAATTACCACAGCACAGAACTATGGGCCGAAAAAAGTGTCTTGCGCCGAATATTTCTTTGAATCCTATTTTTTTAAATTGCCATTTGTATTGAGCTTTATCATTTTCCAGATTATATGTATTTATTGTAATATCGCTGTTTATTACAACAGGTAGTGCCTTCGATGTCGTTTCTTTGGTGTTTCGACCGCCGGAAAACAAATTTTTCGATTTTCTAAATATGGTCTCAGCCGAAGTGACTACCAAAGAAGACGAGACCACTGTGACCTTGTCAGTAAGCAAAGAGAACATGAACAAAAAGCAATTGCACATTCAGGACGAGGTTATATCTTACGATGTTGAAAAACTGAAAAATATCATTGTCATGGATGAAGACGATGAGGAAGATCCCGCATTGGAGTTGACCGCTGATAAAATCGCTAGAAAGCTGTGCAAAAACAAGGATTGTCCTGCAGCAAAGAAATTCAAGGAGTATGGAATCGGACCACTTGCTACTGGAAAAGGTTGTATTATTCATGTCCTAACTTCATTTATTTTTATTCAAGAGACATGCATTCTCAATTGATAGTTCGTTGAATTATGATGCCATAGTTATAGTGATTTGGAACCAGTTATATAGGTTATTCAACTCGTTTATAACTTATGATGAATAACTAACTCTCCATCATAGGCCAATATTCTTTTACATAAGGAGGATGATGGATAGAATTCAGCACGACACTCATTTGTTATGGACCTTCGCTCGAATAAATTAGTACTTACTCTTCATTAGTTGTATGTTATGCTGTGAAATAAGTCACGTGGACATGTTGACACTGTAGCTAACACTCGTCTAAGTAATAAATTTTTTTCGGCAACCGTCCGGGAAGTACCATATTCTTTGAGAAAGTAGCAAAAGTTGGCATGGTTTTTGGTCGCAAAGAGGGCTAATATTATTTATTGTCCACTACACTGCGCTACTGAAACATGAGGTCAGAGTTGGTAGAACTGATAAATATTTACTTGAACTTGAATATTAATTGACGGTAAGGGCCGAGGCAGAGCCTATTATGCCCAGAAGTAATAATTTACATTACAGTACAAAGTGAGGGATATCGTAAAAAGATAAGAATCGAAAATATCGACAATAAGGGAAATCAGCACAATAGGTACAGTCGTATTCAAAAAAAAAAGGCGTACAAGTATTAGAAAGAGAAATTAACGTCATCCTATTTGCGTAAAACCGGCTATCGGGAATGATAGTTTACCGAATCTTGACAGTTGTCATAGATTGTCAAAAATACAAAGCGTAGACGTCGGCGTTATTATTTAAATTGCTTAGTCTGTGAAATAAAAATGCCTCGCCATTTAACAGAAATAGAAAAGCCTGAGATAGTGACTAAGACTGAGGAAGGATGGTCTATTCGCGCGACAGCACGGGAGTATAATCGGAATAGGAAAACTATTCTAAAAATCAAACAACGATGGGAGCAAGAAGAGTCATTGAGAAGAAAAGTTGGATCAGGTCGTCCCAAAATCTCCAACGCTTAACAAGATGCTGCTTTTGTGGCAAGAGATAACCCATTTGCAACGGCGAGAGATTCTGTGATAGTGACAGGATTTCCTGGGGTAATTTTCGCACTAAATCATATATACCGCAACCCACAATATTGGCATAGGGTAATTTTTACAGACGAAAACACTTTCAAGTCGACTCATGACGGACCAATTCGTGTTTATCGTCCACACTATACGAGATTTGAAGAACGATACACTAGCTCTCTTGCTTCTAGGTCTGGACGTTTTTCCGTTAATGTATGGGGCTGGATAAGTATCCATGGACCCGGTGTTTGCTGGCGAATAGAGGGAAGGTTCAATGCCGCAAAATTGTATCCAAACAATACCTTTATATATCAACATGATAATTGTCCAGTCCACACCGCCTGATGTTACGAATTGGTTCCGTACGCATAACGTAGAAGTGCTGCCATGGGCCGCTTACAGTCCCGATATCAATCCAATAGAAGACGTTTGGGGTATAATTGTAAAAAAAAAATTACAAGAGAAACTTCAGGCCCCAAAATTCGAATGAATTATGGGAAGTAATCCATGAGTGCTGGGAAGAGCTTGATCCGAATATACTCTCGAATTTGATCAACTTAATGCCAAATAGACTCACTAAAGTTATAGAATCTGATGGTTATATGACCAAGTATTTAATTTTATTTTCACTGTTCTCGTTATTCGTTTTTGTTTGAATTGTAATAAAACTGTTAAATATAAATAATTCAATAAATTATTACCTATTTTTTTTCTTATTATTTATTTCATTGATGTTCGATGCCACTGACTTGTTTTTTGACACCTTGTGATGAGCCAGTTTCACACAACTAGATCTAGGATGACGTTAACCTCTCTTTTCAATACTTGTTCGCTTTTTCATTGAATACGACTGTACATACATCAATCAGAAATTAGAACACTGGAACGCGTCGAAACCATTTTTGAAACTGTTCACTTGAAGTTTTCGTGTTTAAGTTTTATTGTATGCCCTCTCTCACCCTAGGGTCCGTCTTCAGCTCAAAAATATTATGCATGTCGATGGAGAATGTGTCCTGCAGTATGCGGTAGGTCAGAATAGCATTTCCTCTGGCTCGTTTGTCTTGTGCCTGAGTGAGGGTACCATTCGAGTTGCCAGACGTTGGGTTCTCTCTAAGAGTTGTATGTCTTTCACTAGGTGTGGAGATCAGATTTGAACACCATACTCTGGTAGAGGACGTATATACAACTTATATAGTTGACCAAATAGTTGTGGACTATGATTGGTGAAACACTTGCGCATTTGGCCTCTTCTTACGATATCTTCTCCTTCAATGTAAGAATTAGTCATGAAGTTCCACATTGAGATTAAGCAGCATAAGAGTGCTAAGGTCGTCAAAATCTGACATACCTATTAGTCACTCAAAAATTGAAATGTCTCGTTTTGGGTCGACTTCCACTACGGGAATCCGTAATTATGTGAGCGAATCAATCAGAACATACCAAGGAGAGTAAAGAGTCTGTCTGGAACAATTCATGTTTTTTTGGCAGCAGAAAAACTATGAATTTTGAGCGACTACCACAACTCTCGTGATTGCCCAAATCCTGAAAGATTGGGTGAGGAATATTAGGAGTACACAGTTGAAAATGATATCGAAAACTATATACAGGATGTTCACTTCAATGAACATAAACGTAAAATGAATCCATTTGAATATATAGAAGTAAAAGGTGCCAGGGATGCGCATAATGCAAAAAGGCGAAGCCTACAATATTTTCCTCGAATGAGAAATGAATGTTCAGGAGCTCTAATCAAAGAATATCAACGCTATGAATAGCGTTAATATTCTTTTTTGCTCTAATTTTAGATGAATTGATTGCTATTGTACGTAGATATGATGAGAATACCCCAGACCTTCAGAAGAATTTTTATTCAAATAGTATCTGTAGAGTTGTAAAATTTAACTTGAATGAAATGTTGAAACTCATATAAACGAGTATTTTTATACTGTTCATGAACTAATCTTCCTGAATATCACTCGACCATGACAAATGGACACTACTATTTTTTTTTATTCATCTGGAGTAACAATATACACAATATTAACATTAATAATCATAGAATAACTTCCTCGCGGTAAAGCTCTCGGGAGTTATTCAGATTATTAATGCTCATATGGTATCATCAAATTTTCAAAATACATGATAATCTCGATAGAATTATGAAGAAAATAATAGTCGGCTATTTGTCATGGTCTCGGGATATTACCCGCGATAATTCAGGCCACAGCCTCTAGAGCTATCCGGCAAAATTTTGTGATTTTTGAATTTGACATCGACCTCACGTTCTAATAACGCCAACTGCTGAGACTGAAAATGTTAGCCCTCATTATGGCAATAAACTATGGAAAGCAGCAGCGATAGTGAGTTTGAAAATGTGCCTTACGAAATTTCCAATGCAGCAGCTGATCCTACAGCACAGTTATTGCCTGAAAAATCAAAAGTCCATACAGAAACTTTTATGACTTGTTCACGAAATGGATTGAAGGAATTCAAAACTATTACAGAGGATATAATTTTGTCTTATTTGGTGCAAACATATGGAACTATCAAATCCTCTACCCTGTGGAACATGTACTCTATGTAGAAAAGTACCATATCAGTGAAGAAAAATGTTAACATAGCCACTTTCCCTATATTGATTTGTCATTCTACACGGTTGCCGAAAAAATAGTGTTCAACAAATTCAATTCCAAGAGTATTGGTAGGTACACCAAAAGATATTAGAAAGATGTATTCACAAAACGCTAGCTTAAATACTGTGATTTGAGGAAAATCAAAAAAATGTCTTCTGAAAACACAGATGTGCTCGGTTTTTGAAGGGTAACTTACATACAATTGTCTACAGAAATCTCGAGTAGAATAATCGACATTCGAATAAATAAGTAATCCACTCTTGCTAAAACAGGTCTTGGTACTTTATACGGCGACGTAGAACCTCCCACCACATACGGATTGAGCCACACTTACGGCACCTTCGCCAATTACGGTCCGTATGGTGTGTTCAGCAGACCGAAATCTCCCGATCAACCATTCATTCCACCAAAGAATGCCCTCGAAACGCCGAAACCACCTTGCTCTAACAGAAAAGAGAAAACTTGTAGGCATGGCGTAAGAAGATTGAGAGGTGGTGGATTACCAAATGATGCTTTAGAGTTGAGTATTAAAGTAGTAGTAGTAAGATCTTAGGGTTCAAAGCTGGATATATGTTGATTTTTAACGAACCATATTATCTTTCATAAGAGAGCGTTGCTTAATGGATCCTCACCATTGGCATCTCGGAAACTATAAGAAGATGATCGAATCGGGTCAAAGGTGCGCATTTGACCAACTAACAATAGTATGCCGGTTAGAAAGTTCAGGAATTCCTAGTGTTACCGTTAATTTCAGAAAATTGTTTTCGTTTAGTTCTGGTGTTATTTTTTATTGAAAGATTTTAATACTATAATACACACCGAGGTGGGAAGAGATACACATTCCCGTCGTGAGATAAGTTTGTTAACCGAGACGCGTCGAGGTTAGCTATGATCTCGAGACAGGAATGAAACTTCCTACCGAGGTTTGTATACCATTTTATTTACAATCAAAATCAATAAATCTCTGTTTCGTTCTGAACATGCCTAAAATATTACATAAGTGAGGGCGGGAAGTAGAGGTATGTAATGTGACACTTCCCAACCTTCAATGACGTCAGAAATGACAACATTACATATATAGTTGCAAATAAAATAAATATCCTTCACATTTTACTTTTTCAAGGCTACATAATGATGATTTCAGCTCTGCTATCTGACGTATCGTCTTCCAGCCACCACCATCTATTTTTTTTTCTCATGGACGCCATTTTTTTTGTTCCGGATAGGACCTGTTACTACTTCTTTCAATGATGATGCAGATATCTATTTTAAAAAAGGGACACAATGTATACCTGAGATTTTTTCATATTGAATTTATCCATATTGAAAATACAATTAAGCCCAAAATCAACCCTTGCGGAACTCTATGTCGAATATTTATTTGGAAGGCACAAGTACTATTTGTTTCAACATATTGTTTTGTATCCGTTTAATAAGTTATAAATAATGGTGAACTGTTCACTGACATCTATAGAATATCATAATTTTGTGTTTCCCATTTTATTTACACCATTCCATATCAACCTCTCTAGGGTTCTATGCAACCGTATTCTAGGCTAAAATTTACGCCATTGATTTATGTGTGGAGAAAATCTTTCTCAAACATAAAATAATTGAAACATTCTCGGATACCGATCATCGACTCAAAAATTGTCTCTGGTCTGGATTCCTGGCCACTCCGGTATGGAAGGTAATGAAACGGCTGATTCCCTTGCAAGGTAGGGTGCCGCAAGTGGTTTCATAGGACCAAAACATACCATTGTCAACTTATCAAGTTTTGCGAAACATATATTGAACACTTTTTTTTTATCGCTTGGAGCGCACGAAAGGGAATCCCTATAATGTTCAACTTCGACTATACGAAGAATTTCATACTTCCTGCAGAATCTGACAAGATTGGCTCATTCCAAATCGCTTGGAGCGCACGAAAGGGAATCCCTATAATGTTCAACTTCGACTATACGAAGAATTTCATACTTCCTGCAGAATCTGACAAGATTGGCTCATTCCAAATCATTCATACATTCTTCGAAGAATGTCATCAAACATTTGTTAGACTACAGCTATTTATAACAGGCCTACTTACTAGTCACTGTTGTCTGAATTATCTTATTTCAAGACTGTAGAATAATCCGGGGTGCCGTCTCTGTCTTGAAAATAATGGTACAGAAGAGCACTTTGTGCCTGCCTCGCCGTGGCTCGGATAAGGTTTTAGCTGTTTGTCAGAGTTTCACTCTCGCCCTCAGGCCTGAGAGATATAATTCAACAAGTAGAGTGAGTAAACTAAACGGGTAAACGGCTTCATTAGGAAGCTAGATCTACTTCGTGAAATATGACAATAGACTTTTACGAGTCACAGTGGAGGGCGAAATAGACAATAGACTCACTTTGAACCTAACCTACATTATTTCATTCACCAATTTCGTAGTTCTTCCATGCCGAGCTGTAAAATCCTCCGCTTGAGAGGGGGCGGCCAGTTAGAAATCGAAGCACTTCCGGGACCGAAATCGCCCTTCCTCGAATGCAAACCCGTCATGGACCAATTCGACCAGATCCTGGCCGCCTACAAGAAGGCACTGGGCCCTTGCGGCCAGCCCACTTGTCCTCACGCACAGACCTTGGCCGAGGCTCAGTGCGAGAAGTACCTTGAGATGACAGGTAGGGTTGTGATCTCATACCTAATAACAATAGATATGCACCGCGATTCATATACGCCAACAATCCAAAACGCTAAATATGGATAAATGAATGAAATCATGAATGGTGGGAATAACTCTGTGGAATCGTTGCCAGAGAATTGATATTCTTCAGAGATAAATTTTATATTATATCTAATAAATCGGCATTTCTATAAGTGTGTGTACGTTGTAACAATATAATTATACCGGTTGTCCCAGGGCCTTTAGGCCAGCAGATATCTGGGTTATCTGACATACAAAACCCAGATATCTGCTGGCCTAAATGCTCTGGGACACCCGGTAAATAATATGTTATTTTTTAACGTCTCAGTGAGGTAATTCGATATTTTCTATATTTTGAATACGCTTTTCTTCAACAATAATAAGCCACCAACAAGATCGTCACTGCACCACATTTCTACGTATCGGAAATATCAGATTAGGATATTTGTTACTAACTTTTATTTACAGACTTGTCACTGCCGAACCATATTTATTCACAAAATAGTCTGCTTTAGATATATAATTTTAAATGAGTTACTGAAACACCGGAAACTGATCACACAACAGCCGGAGAACCATTAATAACAACAAAAACGACAAATGGCATTTCTCACTACGATTATTGTTCGGTTACTATAAAACTTTGCGGTGCCGCCACGTTCATCTTTGAATAGTCCATATTTTTCATTTTTTATGTACCGAAGAACAAATAATAAGTTTATAATTATTAGTAGTGAATTTCTGACAATTATGTTGCTAGTGTGTATTAGTATGTTTTGAAGGTTATGTATTTTTTGTCATAAGCTATTCATATCGAGTTGATTAAGATTATTTATAAGAAAAATCCTCTCGAATTATGGATGAGGTCCTTATAATGTGAAGAAATAAGCAAAATAAATCACTCTTTTCAACAATCTGAGGTTGTGACGGTTGGAATTTGAAAAGATGATTCAACTCATCTGTCAGATTTGATTGATACTTTTGACCGATCAAATTAAAATTGACCACATTTTCAAGCAGATTAGACACTTCGTATTGTGAGGTTGGATACAAAGATATCAGATGTCAAATGTGGATAAAAACGGGGCCACTGTTATTATTGTATTTCTATAAGATCAAATACTGTTGAAATGTTAATCAATGTGAATAAGAGCAAGAAGAACTTCCTCAACTCTTCGACGCTTTGACGCTTTGACCAAATACATATAAGGCCGGTTCGTTTGTGTTTGATCTACCTACTAAACTTGATTTGGTTTTTATAACTATCTATGTTTACATCATGCCATGAAAAGAGATAACTATGGGAACAAAATCAACTTTACCAAGTTCAGCAACACAAACGAACATCCTTTCATGTCTCAAATTTTATCATATTGTCTAGAATTTCATTTCCCGTTAGACATTATTGAAAATGTTATAAAGTTCAGGAAAAAAATATCCAATACCTACCTCCTGTCCCTATCCTCCCTAGGAACGCACGATGTTCTTTGAATATTATAGGGATTTCCTTCCATGCGCTCCAAGCGTTAAAAAAATTTCCTACATTTCATCAAGTTAATTTCAATTATATCATAAAAGGTCATGTGAAATTTTTTCAATCCTAACGACAGGCAGAGCGATCAAGAAAGGGCCTCCCGAGAAGACTGACAGCGTATCTTGTCAAAGTATACCTTGCACCATGGAGGAGTGTCCTTACAAAGAAAACAAGAACAGGTTTCCAGCCGGTTGTGGATCACCGAGGTGTGCTTATGCCGCATATAAATTGGGTTAGTATACAAATAAGGTGTTTCACTCTGGATGGAACATTTTAGAAGTATCTGAAGATCGGAACGACAGATCATTTCGAAAATTTGTTGCTATATGGATAATCAATCGTGCTCTATTCGTCTAAAATATTTTTGACAAAATGGTGTTGCCACTTTTATTAGAAAGTAGTAGCAACTTTGATATTTCTACATGATCAGAATTATGGATAATAATAATAATAATAATAAAATAAGTTTGTTCAAAAACGTTTACAAAATATACATTGAAACATACAGATAGGTATTTTGAATAAACTGGGAAAAACCTCACGAAGTGAACCTTGTAGTAAGGATAAAAAAAACAAATGTACATAGGTCAATAAATATTTAACAATATTAAATTATCACAAGGAAAAAATTGTCTCATTAGGAAATGAGACATAGTGTATATAATTCATATATGTGTACTGAGCATTTCATTCAATTTATTTATGTATACTTATTCAAAATTATTATTTAGATGTTTCTATTTATATTATTGAATGTTAATTAAAGAGAAAAAATCATTTTTATGGGAGTCTGATATCCAGTTTTTTTTATCGAATAGGATTGGATTGAATTTGTTTTTATGATATCATTTGGAATTTGATTATATAGTTAAGGAATTGAAAATTTATAATTTCTACGTCCAATTGACTTGTTTGTTTTATATTTCAATGTTATGTCATTTTTATTTCTTATGTCATAGATATGTTCTTTGAACTGAATGCCCTTTTTATTTTTTGAAATATGAATCAGTAAATTGTATATTTAAAGTTCATTATCCATTTTCTCAGATACCTTATATTAAAGTTCACTTGGAAACAAATAATCTTTTCCATAAATAATTTATAAAATTCATTTTTGTGCTATTTCCAATTTCCTCAAATATATCTGCTTCACTCGATCCCATCCTAATATCCCATAAACTAATTAAGATTGCACTAAAGCATAATATATCATTTCTAAATTACGAATATTTAATAAGTTTTTCAAATGTTTGAATTTAGGAATGAGGCATCTTATTTTCTCAAGAGACATAATCAATATGATGATCCCATTTCAGATTATTGTCCATCATTATATCAAGGTATTTGATGCAGTCAGTTTCCTGAATTTCAATTTTCTCTATGAATCTTGATAGTGCCTAAATTTGGTTAACAATTTGTATAGGAAGTAAATGTCATATATTTGTTTTTTTCAAAATTAATTGTTGATTAATTCCGATCAAACCATTCTTTAATAATAGGGAAATCATTGATTACTTTGTTTTTCAATTCATACCAATCTTTCGCAGAATAAGAGATAACAGTATCATTTGCGAAATAATGTATAGTACCAGTTGAATTTAGTTGTAAGTCATTTAAATAAATATTGGAAAAAAGTGGACCTAAAATACTTCCTTGAAGGAACACCATACTCAAACAATTTCGGGTCGATGTGGATTTTGTTAATTTCAGCATGTTGAATTCTATCAGAAAGGTAGTTTTGTATTAATTTGTATCCAATCCTACGAAATCCAATATTTTCCATTTTTTTCTAATAGGAGCTCATGACTAACTGTATCAAATGCTTTAGCTAAATCAAGAAATATACAGAGAGTTGTTGGTTTTTCATCAATTGATTTATATAAATTATTAGTCAAGTAACAAATAGCATATTGGGAAGAAATATTTTTTCTAAACCCAAATTGTTGATTCGACAAAAAGTTCAATTCTCTTAAATTGCCGTAAATTCTATACTTTAGTATTTTCTCAAAGACTTTTTCCAAAGTGGATATGAGAGTGATTGGTCTGTAATTTTTTATTTCGTCTTTATACGACATTTCGTTAGGCATAAAATTGCTCAACTTTGTCATAATTCAACCGACCCTGTATCTCTTACGGTTTACGAGATCCCAATAGAGATGCTCGAATTCCAGCCACCCTGTACAAACAATCTAGTCACTTTTTCATATACAGGGTGTCCTGAAACTACATGAAAATATTTCAACCGCAGATTCTCGGAACAAAAATAGTAAAAAAAGTTCATGAACATGAGCCCAGAAATGGCTCCCTGGGAAGTTATACCCTCTGTGACGAGCTAACGAAATTTTGTACATGTATATTACTGGGAGTGGGAAATAGGTGGGGGGTTAAGGACATTTTTTCCACCAATTTTCAATGCGATTTTCGGTAGTTTGACCAGGAAATATGAAAAAATCATCATTTTAACGTAAATATGATACTCTTGTTTAGTTTCGGTAGCACTCACCATTTTAGAGATAAATCGAGTTTAAAAGTCTGCTGATTAACAAAAATAGTGTTTTCTTTTTATAATGGGGTATCAAATTTTCCCAAAAAATATGTTTCGATGAAAAATATCTTTTTTTCAACATCTACTTGCGATGTTTGATTCAAAATATTGAAGGAACAATAATAATAATAATACATTTAATGATAGGTACCCTATTGAGAAATGTACTATTTTTACTACGCAGCATACTTTTGAAATCGATTCATCTCGAAAATGGTGAGATATATCGAAACTAAACTAGAGTATAATTTTCACGCAAAAATGAAGTTATTCTCATATTTCCTGGTCATACTGCTGAGAATTGCATAGAAAACAAAAATTGGGGGAAGAAATGTCCCTAGCCCCACCTGTTTCTCACGCCCCTGATCAAAATTTTCGAAAATTTTTAACATTTCCAAATTGGGCATGAAAAGTGAAATACATGTACAACATTTTGTTATCCCATCACAGAGGGTTTCGGAAATATTTACAAAAAACCATCATCTCGGGCCCTCTTCAAGATGGCTTCAACTCCCCAGGGAGCCATTTTTGGGCTCATGTTTAGATGGATTTTTTTCACAATTTTTGTTTCTAGAATCTGTGACTGAAATATCTCTATGTAATTTCGGGACACCCTGTATATATATGTATATTGAATTGGGGATTATCGATATGTTTTGACTTATCGATAATCGATATGTGAAATCTAATATCGCGCAGCCCTTTTGGGGATATTTTTTCTTTGATTCTTAAAAAACATCACTATATTTATCTTGAAGGCCTGGTAGATGACGATGCTGCTATTGAACTTCAATTTCTACCTCCTGCTGTTTCTGGAAAATGTGGTCACCCAAAATGTGAATACCCTTTGAAGCCTGATTTACCTCCTATACATTGGGATTGCCCGGACCCCCTACCAAAAGGTAAATATATATTGGGTCTCTTTTCAATACGGTTTCAACTAAATTCTGCATTGTGGTGTTAAACATTCTCCGTGATGAAAATCAGATACCAAGGTACAACAAAAATTTTTTTAAGCCGAAATATATTATTTTTCCAATTAGTAACATGAAGGTTTTTCCTTCCTGAAGTTTTCCATTATTTTTGAATAGATATAGTTTGTCCTTGAAAGTCGTTGAGAGCTGTCATCAGGCGAGTAATATTTCATTATTAGCTTTATTACTCCCAAGAAACAATTGAAGAATATGTTTATAACAGAAAACAGAAAAAAATATTCTAAAGAGGATCGGTTGAGAAATGTTTCAATCGGAGAAAGTACAACCATACAAATACTATCCATCAGAGAGTACAAGCTTTTCAGGTGTACCTCATCACTGAGTCTTGAAAGTGTGTCTGATCATCATTTATTATCAATTTAAAATTAATATACTACTTCATCTACCAACAACATCAAGCTCAATAATCAACACAGAGTATGTCATTGTTGCCAATACTTTCAAGGGTTGGATATTTCGTATTGTGAGGTTGTGTGAGAGCTAAAGTAATTTCAAATGTAAAATATTAATGAAATCGGCGCCCCTGTCAAAATCATTGTATTTCTATCAGATCGAAATGTGTTATATTCTTAATTGCCTATTGAAAATAACAGCAAGGCCAACTTATTATAATTATTGACATTAACAAAAGACAATATTTTCAACAAATGACATTCACTTTGACAGTAATTTCTGTCAACAAATAGCACAAAATGTTTGACCCTTTCCAAGTGATATATGATCAATCTACAAAGTAATTATCATCTACAATGATTTCGATTTTTTTGTTGATAGGCAACTGTAAGAATCTGAATTGCCCATTCCTGCCGCCCGATCTCAAAGTGATGAAATGCAAAGTTCCTAAAAAGGGACCTTGTGGTAGCACCTCCTGTCCATACGCTTTACCCCCTCCGTGCGATGTCCCCAGCTGTCCTTTTCGACAAAAGCCATGCCCTTTCCTAGAACAACAGCAACAAGGCGACATGAAAGCCTCGTGCTCCATGAACTCCAAAGATGGCGAAATTTGTGAAAACCCAGACTGCCCCTTCGCAAATAATGGTGACGATCAATCTGCATGCTTCCAAGACGAGAATTTGAAGGGAGAGTTCCAAACTTGCGCCAATCCTGGTTGTCCTTTTGCTAATAAAACTGGGAACGGGAAAGGAGATGATGCTTGTATAAATGTCAAGTGTCCTTCAAAAAATAACAGAAAAAAAGACAATGATGCACGCAAGTCCAAGAAGAAGTCTACCAGCAGAAACTGTGACAATCCAGACTGCCCATTTGCGGATTCCAAGAAGAAGAAAATTGTACAAAAAAAGAGTAGCTCAGTTTGCGAGAATCCCGACTGTCCTTTCGCCAAGAAAACGTTGGATACAGAAAATACATCGAAAAGCAGTAGCCTTTGTGACAACCCCGACTGCCCTTTCGCGAAGTCATCGCAAAACACCACCCAGAGCAATCTTTGCGCGAATCCCGATTGTCCTTTCGCCAACAAATCCAGTACGAGTTCGTCCACTAGCAGCTCAGAAAAATGTTCCCATAAATCCGCGAACTGTGAAAACGGAAGTGTTTGCTCTAACCCGAACTGCCCCTACACTGGCATCAAAGAAGACCCCATTTGCAACGATCCGTTTTGCCCTTACTTGCAGCCCTTGCCGTCTTGTGGCGTTCGGAATTGCCCTTACGAACCGGTCCCGGGGATCTATTGCCCCAGCCCCAATTGTCCAGCTATGTCCGTTGGTACGGTACAGCAATCCAAGAGTCTAAGGGAGCAGAGGCAACAAGAAAGAAATAGTACGAGTAACCAGAAATCAGGAGAAAATGTAGTAGGTAATGTAGAATAACAATAATTTCTGTTATATCTCACTTTAGGGATAGGAACTCCCTCTCATTCTACTATCACGAGCATAGTAAGACATGATGAAATAGATCCTTCATTGTTGCTTCATTGTTTGAAAAACGGAAGCAAAATGACAAAATCAATTTATTGACTTTACTGTTCATATATATACAGGGTATGTCACGACGAGCTTACACCATCTTTATATCGTGAACCAGTCGGGAGAAATCCATGAAAATCGGCATGCTCATATTTTAGAATATGCTCTCATCATTTAAAATATTTTCGACAATGCAGTATTGCCGCTTCTACTAGAAAGTAGTAGCAGCATTGATGGAACACCTTGTATTTTATCGCATTTTTGGATTATCCCTGAAGAGCTGATTTCATTGATGTATCACACTTGGGGTCTATCGAAAAAGATTACAGAGATATAGGGTGTTCAAAATCTAGGTTTTTTTTGCAATTGCATACCTCGTTGGTCCCAGCACTGGGACCAAACGCCCCATAAGTCGAAACTTGTGCGGGGTTAGGTATACATACAAACACAAACAGCCATGGCCTAACTAGGATTCGAACCTATGTCTCGGTGGGAGTCCCCATACGAACTCAGCGCCTTCACGCTCTCGACCACCGAGCTTAAGGATTTTTTTGTGTCGAAACTATTTATTATCGGTCAAAACGGCTGACATGTCCCTATCTCAACTTTTGATTCACTATTTACTGATATTTAATCGGAACAGCTACAGGGTGGTTCAAGATTCAGAATTCTGATCACCCTGTATCTGTTCCGATTAAATATCAGTAAATAGTAAATCAAAAGTTGAGTTAGGGACATGTGAGCCGTTTCGGCCAATAATGAATAGTTTCAACACAAACAAATCCTAAAGTTGAAAAATCTCGATTTTGAACACCCTATATCTCTGTAATCATTTCCGATAGACCCCAAGTTTGATGTATCGATGAAATCAGCTCTTCAGGGAGAATCTAAAAATGCAATGAAATACAGGGTATTCTATTTGAAATAACAACGTTGTTGCTACTTTTTGATAGAAGCGGCAACACTGCATTGCTGAAATTATTTTAAATGAAGAGAGCGTATTCTAAAATATAAGCATGCATATTTTCATGAATTTCTCCCGACAGAATCTCGATATAGAGATAGTGTAAGCTCGTCGTGACATACCCTGTATATACAGGGTGTCCGCTAAAAGGAGGTCAATCCATTAACCACATATTCCTTGAACAAAAACAATATGAGTTTCTAAGTACCATTTTTCATTTTAGCCCTTCATATTCGATATACAGGGTGTCAAAGTTGGAAATTAAAAACTGTTTTTTTCTCATTACTCGCGTATTTAATAAGATATCAATCTCAAAATTGGTACATTACTTCAGCACAAAGAATTACATCGTGTGAGGGAAACAAAACAGAAAAAAACTGTCAAATATTCAAAATACTGGGGGTCGAGTACACACTTACCCCCATTGTTCAGTTCTCGAGATAAGAAAAATTGAATATAATGCATTCAACTTCGGTATATGGTTTCAACTTGGAATGGGTCATTCTTTGACCAGGAAGCCATTCTGGACATTTTATCCAGTGGTGCCCTACAGGAGGGTGTGGCAACTTTTCCTCCCAAATTTTCTACGCCACTGATTAATTTTCAATTATTTCCAATTCCTCGAATTCATTGTTCAATTTTGTTGAAAAAATGCATCACCTTCAACTGAGCTGAAATGAACAGTTTTCGAGATATTCGACCCAAAATAGAAGATTGCATAGTAATATTCCATCATTTTCATTAGTAGAAAATTGCACTTTTTTCAACCAAGTTTAAAAATTTTAAATTTACAAAAAAAAGTAACTGTTGAGTTCAATTGTACCAATGACAGTATCCTATGTGGCAACGTAAGAAATTTTGCACAGTATGTCAACCTATCTTTTACAATTTTATATATCTAACAACGTTATAACCAACCTCACTAAATATGTAAGTACAAGGCATGGCCATATTGTTTTCCAATGTATTTACACTCCTCAATCATGCATTGAAATATGTATCGTCAAATTCATCTAGGAACGCGACAGGTTGTTTATCGTTTCGTTACGTATAGAAGTATTAGGAACGGATGGTATTTGGCAACATCGCAGTCTAGTCATGGAGAGATGCGGAGAGCAACGATAATGAATGGGCGAGTGGACTGATAATGAATTATTGGCATTCAATTACTCCACTGTGTCGTTAGGAACCTAAATTAATTTTCGCAACACCTCACGCTTTTTTATGTAAATAATAAGTCTATGCGTTGTTTAAAATTGTTGAATTTCAGAGCTCATTTCAAACGTAACGTGATGGCCGCCATTTGGCGATACGTCGAATAAATGGTGACGTCAGTTTTTATGCTGTTTCGTTATTGGTCAGATAATCTTCTATTTCCACTCATGAAGCAAGGTTGTCAAGTCACCAATTATATCAAAGAGATGGTTGGGTCCTGTCGTTGAATATAACATATTAGGAGGAACTCATGACATTATAGTTCATTCTTGACTTTTTAGAGCAACCAGCACGTCCCAATATATCTTATTCTCCATAACAAAATATCATGTGAATATTGGAGACTTAGCAACATTGTGCTGAATGCTGAGAACTGACCACGCCCACAAATCATGCGCAAGGTTGTCACGTTCACCGACTCAAATGTGAAATTTTTATTGCTTATTAGGAATATTACCAATACTTGATTGAGAATTCATGAATCATTGAATAAATAATATTCCTGAAGTTCCCAATCGTATTTCAACACATGGCAACTGTGCTATGTTCTGCCCCTACTAACGAAATCGTGGATTTCTCTCCATTTGAAAATCACCGTGGCATTATTGATGATTTTAGCACCTAAGAATTAAGCGAAAAATTCTAAGAAAATATGAAATTGAAAGGTATTTGAGTGATGATTCTATTTTTCCGATTTTTAGCCGATAATCATGTTGCCATTCACATGCCCTATATGTAACGTTTCGATAAACAACCTGTATAAAGAAGAATGTAGTCCAAAAACCGGATCTCACAAATGAGAATTAACATGAATCGTTCCTTATTTGCTTAGTTAGAACATGAAAGAATGACTGAAAGGTGATGGTGCTCGCCCTAGATTTTTTCTATTTTTTTTTATTTCAGTTATTGCATTACATTGTCTTCTTCATTGATACATTTCATACAAATAATATAAGAAGTATAATTAATTTTCTAGTAGGAAGGACATGAATGATCAGACAGTAATTCCTGATATAAGATCATTCATGAAGTAACTATCGACTGTTGTATAATTGAAATTACAAATAGTTAATAGTAATAGTTAATAGTATAAGATATCTCAAAATAACAATCATATAATAGTGAAGAAGGGAAAAAACAGTGAAAAACAAAGGAAATTCATAGTCTTTCAGCTTTGATCATTCCTAGCTTTGCATATATGTATTTCTTCACTTCATTTTTGAATTGTATAATATTTGGGCTGTTTTTGATTGATATCATCTGGTAATTTATTGAATTTCGAAATCGCCTCATGTGTAAGCTTTTTTTGTTCAAGTTTAAAATTTGCAGCTTCAAGATGAAACAAGTAATATTGTCTAGTGTGATGATCATGAATTTGGGAATTCCTAATTAATATATAATCTGAGTTAAGTTTCTTTTCTGGAAATTCAGAGTGTAATCTTCATTATATATGTGCAGGCCAAACAGATATAGTGTTAGAAACACAAATGTCAGTGGTTCGGAAAAGTAAGGAAGCAGTTCGGGCTAGTAAGGAGCAGCCAGATAGTAAGGAGCAGCCACAGGCTGTAAAAGGAAATGGGAATGGAAAGAAGAAGCGCGGCAAGTTTGTCTATTCCATGGGGGACAAGTATCCTGGGGTCAAGGTTGGCCATAAGGAGTGTGTGACGCCCATGTTCAATGTGCCACCTAAGATGGGGTGGTTGTGGAATATTCACACACCGATTTTGAGACTGAAAGTAAGGCCGATTTCCTAATGTAATAAATTACTCCTTCAAATGTTAAATGACATCTTGAGTTCCAGATCGCTTTCATAATACATATTTATACATAAAGGTGACTTTAGAGGGTATTTTGGTTGAATACCCAATTTTATGAATTTATTAGCGAATACGATTGGGAAAACAACATAGTGCTTCATTGACTAAGAACTATTGTTGCTTTGACATTGCAAAGGCCTGACAAGAATAACTTCCTCATGACGAGAAGAAACCATAATCCGAAAACTGCATACAGGAGCAATAAATAGATAGATATCATGCAGATTCATTCATTGATGGAATAGGATTTGGAGGTGCTTATTGGTTATGATTAAGAATATAAATGAATAATAATTGATAAATAAGAAGACACAACTTCTAAATTCGAAAAATCAGGGGAATACAAACTTAACTGTGGATCTTGTCTTATGGTATTTATCGGCCAGACATGAACATAAGACGAATTTTTTGAAAAAGAAAACAAATTCAACATACGTCAATCATATATTAGAATAAAACCATAGTTTTGATGCTTTTTCTAAATTCTACACGTAGAAAATAAAGGAATGAAATTCAATCGTTTTGAATCATTAGAAATCAACAAACTCAAAAATTCTAACATTTCACTAAACGATCAACTAGACCTCAATAGTTCACCACTGTTCTCTGTTTTCTTTGTAGGTAGCGATATATGTATTTGCTATCAGGCTTTCAAGTTAATCCGGTACACCGTATTTCAATGTAGATATTGTGCCTATTTTCTGAAAATAAAGGTTTATCGAACGTTTCCACAGGTATTTCTAATCCTCCAGGTTATGAAATTCGGACATATGAAAGTTAGGCAAGCCAAGGTTATTTCATTGTAACAGTATTTCACCTGCTGAAACTACTGTGTTAGCGAAACATGTGTAATTAAGAATTATGTGGAAATCTTATCGTTTTCACAAATGGGAAGTTGTTTTTGGCATGCTCTCTCACATAATCATTCGCTTCGCAGCCGAGAAGGGTCTGGAAACTGGGCGCCATCTTGAAGACAATAGCGCAGCGCATCAGGGCACACCGCCAACTCAAGGGCCTCGGCATGATGCACGTGCTGCACGTTAACTGCTCTCGAGTCGACTTGATCAGTGTCGCGTATCGACTAGATGCGATATTTTTTCAGAATCGACCCACTGGGTGTGCTGCAAGCAATGTAAACAAATGGAAGGGACCTTCTGTGAACGACGAATGAGGCAAAAATATTGTTCAGGCAACCCGCAGTGGTTACGGATATCTATCTCTTTCTATCTTATGTTGGCTTATAGGAAGCACTCGCATTATTTGAAATATTTTCTCGTTTTTTGCATTCCTTTAAGAGTGAACGTGATTCAAAATGATATTGTTGCAATCAATTATCATTCCAAAATTATTATCGATTTTTTTATTGATTTTAAATTGAAATTTCATTTTTATTCTTGCCGGATTAGGAAGTCGAATGAATAAAAGATTGAAATTATATCATTATTCTCATTCGAATGTCACAAAATATTGTACAGGGTTAGCAAAGCCCAATGTCTCAGCACTGTCAGAAGGAAAATAAAAACAATAGAAAAAATTTTAAAAGAGGTTCTTGAATGGTATTGAGTACCCATGTCTATTTTGAGCATAATTTTCAAAAGAACCTTTTTTTCATTAACATCGCACTATTAGAAGGTGAATGAAAGGTGAATAAAAGGTGAATAAAAGTTCAATGTTGGGACGAATTGTTTCATTAAAGATGAATATCTTTGTCGCCCAGAATGTACACTTATTCCTTATTGGAGAAGGAGAAGCTCCAAAGGCGAACCTGAAAAGACAATATGATGTAGCTCTTGAGCTTAAAAACATGAACTTGTAGTTTCAATTTTCGAAATGTTTTTTAGTACCTCATCAAGATTGCCATTCTCTTTTTCACATTTTGTTCCAGTGTTTTCACTTTTCTTTGCAATTGAATATGCCTTCTCGAATGAAACAGTTTTCGGGTTTCATTATCAATAAACTTTGAAACTTGGGAGCTGGAAGTTGTAGGCAAATCAATGTCCATATAAAAAACATCGTCCTAAGAATCCAAGTTATGCACATCCACACACACACATACACAGACACATCATGAAAATGAATTACAATAGTTTTTCTAAGAATCTGAACAATTTTCAACTTACCCATGAAGGACAATTTCTGTTTGTCTTGCTTGTTTTGCATCCAAAGGCAACACAATATAAATAACTATTGTTTATCAATTCGAAATCACAAACCTTCTCAACAACAATCAATTCACACCAACAAATTCAGTCCTTTTGAAGAAACAAAACACGCCAAATTTAGAGATATTTCACGTAATAAAAAACAATCAAGTTCTGTCTTCACTTTTTTGCCTGTTCAGATGGAAAACAAAGATCTCAAGTACTCCAATCATTGGATTAAAGAAAATGTATACACCAATCCGCCATTAAACAACACGAGTGTGAAAGAGACAGGTTACCGTAACACAAGCTATCTTTGTTGCAGCTGCCCCTGACACACTCTGTGCTATTCGAGAAGCAGGCAGTCTCCCTTCCAGGTGTTTATATTAAGTTCATCGGCTGCACATAACCAAATTGCGTCTACTGGTCTCGTCAATTTCTCGCTTATCGACTAGATACGATAGTTTCTTAGAATCCACCAACTGGGCGTGCTGCACGTGGCCAAGTTCTGTTAACTGATCTCGAGTCGCGTCAGTGTCTCGCGTTTTGACTACTTGACTAGATACTAAAGTTTTTTAGAATCCACCCACGTTCTCTCAAGTAACCGTTCGCTTCGCAGCCGAGAAGGGGCTGGAAACCGGGCGCCATCGTGAAGACAATAGCGCAGCGCATCAGGGCGCACCGCCAACTCAAAGGCCTGGGCATGCTGCACGTGCCCAAGTTCAGAAAGAACGTGGGCGGCTCCGAGTCCGACCCCGAGGTGAACGTGTCGCCCAAGCCGACTTTGCACATCCAGAAGAAGGACGGCGCCTACTGGATCACGATGAACCCGCTGAAGGACCCGAAGACGCTGGCCGAGAACGAGGATCCGTACATGGAATGCACGCCGATGCAGTTCAAGATCACGAAGAACAAGAACAAGCCGAAAGACGATAATGGTGAGTCGTTTTTGCACCGAAACGTAGGTTTGGGTGTCTCAGGGATTGGAGTTCGGTGACCAGGTAGCAGGAAGGTGATTGAAAATGCCGCCGGTTCTCGAAATACGATTTGTTTTCATTGGTACTTGATGGGCCACCATTTAATCTATTGTAGAAGTCCATGGTATCTCAAAGTGGAGTGGATAAATTCACACGCAAGACACACTAAGTCATCTCCACAAATTTATCATCAGAATTATCAGTATCTGAACATGTTTCGGACTATCAATAGTCCATCATCAGCAGAAGCATTTTGAGACAATTTCTACAAAGAAAAGTTTTTTTTTCTGCAACCGACACAAAAGTCGTCCATTTTGATACCAAAATTAGCACTTAAATTGACGTTTCTGTTACTGACACAAAAATAGGTATGTTGCTAGGCAACACATTTCCTAGGAGCTAAAGTTAAATTTTAGTTCCTAGGAGCTAAAGTCGAACGTTAGCTCCTAGGAACTAAAAATGATCAACTGGACGTCATCAAGAATAAACAACATTGTGACGGTGGTTATTTGGGTTGAGACGCATACCTGATTTGTTTCCAATTTCAGCAGATTTGGCATTTCATAGATATGGAGATATAAATACACCTTTATTATAGTTTAGTATTGGAATTATAAACATCTCAGTTTAGTATTTTTGTTTGGATCAGGGAAGCCTTCAAGATTCAAATACTTGCTTGATCTGTATTTGATTCGTTATTCTCGGGATGGATAACTTGTTTTTGAATAATCACGGCAAGCAATAGTTTTTTTGTCTCAAACAACGATATTGTTTAGCTTCATTCTCAATTGATCTATATGTAGAGTCCACGATAGTTGTTCATCTATATATAGACCTAAAAATTTTGTTACATTTTTATATTCAATGGATTTGTTATTGAAACATATTGGGGTATTATTCAATATATCCGTTTTTCTTTTTGAGATGTACATATACGTAGATTTACTATAATTAAGAGTCAACTTATTGGTCACTAGCCAAGATGATATTTGTTTCAAATCATTTTTAATATCATTATTGATATCATTGAAATCTTTTGAAGTATAAATTATTGTTGTATCATCTGCAAATAATTTTAGTTTTCCTTTCAATTTTAAAGTAGATATTGAGTTGATATAGATTAAAAATAAAATTGGCCCCAGAACTGATCCTTGCGGTACACCACATGTAATATTCATCAAGGAACTACAAGTATTATTCACATCAACATACTGTTTCCCATTCTTCAAATAATTTTGGAACCAATCATGAATTTTGCCTCTGACACCTATTGATGATAATTTAGTCAATAAAATATTATGATTTACAGTGTCAAAGGCCTTACAGAGATCCAGAGACAGAATGCCGCATTTGTCATTGTCATCTATTCGTAACTGAATATCTGAAATGACATCCATCACAGCTACCTCTGTGTCTTTTGACCTACGAAATCCATATTGTTCACTAAACAATAGGCCATTATTTTCAAGATAATTTATTAGACGGTTATTCATAATTTTTTCTAAAATTTTGGAAAAGATCGGGAGAACAGAAATTGGTCTATAATTATTTAAATCATCTTTCTTCCCATTTTTGTGAATTGGTAATACTTTAGCAATTTTCATTTTGTCAGGAATAATACCAGTTTTGAGCGATTTGGAAATTATGTTTAACAAAATAGGAGCTAACTCAAATTTGATTACTTTTACAATCTTAACAGTAATATAATCAAATCCACAGCATTTTCGAACATCCAGATCATCAATGATATTCTCAATTTCTGAAATATTCGTGGGAATTAGGAACATCGATAGAACACTTGAGCAATCTTTCACAGTGTCGGAAATTGTAGTTATTTTTGACGATAAATTTTGGCCTACATTGATGAAATGATTATTGATTTTATTACTCATTTCCTGGAAGTCGTTGATTTGTACATTATTCACAGTAATACATTTAATATTTTCTGTTTTGTTCTTCGTTTTGTTGTATAGGATTGAGTTTATACCATTCCATACTGATTTTGGAGTACCATTAAAAAAAGTATCATCATAAAATTCTTTTTTTGTTTCACGTATTCTCTTTTTCACTAATTTATTATAGAAATTATATTGCTCTTCAAAATATTCTATATGAGGATAGATTTTTTTTTTATAATGAAATTTGTCCCGCAATTTGATCAATTTACTTATAGTACTATTGAACCATGGCTTTGAATCACATTTTAATTTAACCATTTTCGAAACAGTACAATCATGAAAAGTATCCAGTAGTTTTCCATATGCATCATCAAGATTATTATAACTATTGATATTATCATTTAGTATTTCCAATTCAGATTTTAATTTTTCAATATCATATGTATTTATTAACTTGTTCACATATTTTTTATCATTCGATTTTAGTAGTGGTATATAAGTCAAAGAAAATGTATGGTCACTCAATGAATTATTAATGACAAATAACTCTAGATTTTTTTCTGAATTGGTGATACAATAATCTAGCAGTGATGAACTCCTCGTTGGAATAGTCTCATTACAGTTTCTGAAATTACTAGATTTGTAAATGTCTACAAGCTCTTTGGACTCATCACTATTCGATAAAAAATTTATATTCATATCTCCAAAGAAAAAACATTCACATTTGAATCTATTGATTGCATCAAGTGTCCTATCCATAAATTCGAGGAAATATTGAATATTTACGTCTTGTGGTCGATGAACGCCACAAAGTATCATATCTGGGGATTTGATTTTGATGGCCAAATATGTTAAAGTTGTTTCTTCTTTTTGAATTATGTCAAAATCTAAACTCTCATGAATGAAAATCCCAACACCACAACCTCGTTTTTGACGACTTGCATATACTGCATTGTAGTTTTTAAAGTTGAAATATATCTCTTCTTCCTTATTCAACCATGTTTCAGTTACGATGACTGCTGCAATATTCATTTCACTTATGATAATTTCCAGTTCTTCCATTTTATTTCTTATTGATCTTGAATTTAGATATAAAATTTTTGTTCTAGTATTGGCATCTTCTTCCAGATCGTCAATAGAGCTCAATTCGGTTAACTTAACAGTGGAGTTGTTAATCATATTTTTGTATTAGTTTTATTTTAATTGACATAGTCAATTTGTGATTCCAGTTGGTTTTGATGAAATTTGAGGGTTGGGCAATTTTCATCTGTAGCTGTATGATTCACAGAATAATCTTTTTTGTAGCGTTGGTTTGATATTATACAATTATTACATTTCAATGGCTCATTATAACATTGCAATTCTGAGTAATCAAATCATGCCAAATATTTTTCAATAAAATTGTCCTGACCAGGCATTGTTTAAGATTGACCTTAAATCTTCTTACATCATGTATATTTTTTTTCTACATTGATGCAAAAGCAGACCTTTATTGAACTATATTTAGTGGAAAAAGAAGTTCTTTATTGCACTAAGTGCAATAAAGTTTTTATTGCACTCATCTGCCATTCTACTTCAACGTACTGTCATCATGACAAACATTTTTTGTATTGCAACTGTGGTTATAGAAACGTCAGTCAAAAATTAATTCTGACAATTAACAGAATTGTACCTAGTGCCGCACCTCAATAAATCATTTTTTGCTTTTTGCATGAACGTAGAAAAAATATTGTATGCAACTCGTGCAAAAATTGTTTATTGCACTCGACGTGTTGTCCAACTCGGCCTAAAACATTCACTTTTTGCACTTGTTGCATAAATAACTATCAATGCAATCGGTAATGATTTTTATTGTATAACATTATTCTATTATGAAATACAGATTGTTGCCAATTTTCGACTTGGATGTATTCACTATCAAGTAATTCAATTATCTAGTCCCATAACTATGGACTGTATTAACTTCATCAAAAGCTAAGTTTGATATTTCAAATTTATTCCTGACGAAATGATAAAACAATATATTTTGAGTTTATATAAGGAAATCAGATTTAGAAATTGTCCAAGTTTGTATATTCACTGTTGGTTCTAGAAAATTTAGATGAAACAGGCACTCAATTGATTTGTTTTGTAATTTGATTAGTGCTTTTAGGCGTGAAATAATTGTGCTTCCCCAAATAGAAATTAAACATTGTAAATTCGAATTTATGAGGCAAAAGAGAATACACTCCAGGTATTTTATAAGAATATTTCGCATCTTGAATAAAATGACTATGATTGGATTTATCAAATGAAATCTCAAGTGTTTCAGTATTTTTGTCGTTCGTTTATCCGGCATGAAATTTTCGTAATAAATTATTGCCTTAGCTATGCGCCTGATTTGAATGTCTATGGTGTTCTAGATGAAGATGGCTCGAGATTATGCTGCTGTGAACCCGAAGACGAATCATCATCGAGCGACAGTGAACTGGACATAGAATTCACCCCACCGGCCGGTATAATCCACCCAGAAAGGTTCAAGAAAAAAAAGAACGTCATTCACTGTGATACCCAATATAACCCTGATGATTTCGAGGTCAAGAAGGATATCGCTAAGGGGAAAAGTAAATCTCAGGAGAGTCAAAAGGGTAAAGGAAAGGAGAAAGGAAAGGGCAAGGGAAAGAAAGGAAAGAAGTGATTGGATGAGCAACATTGTTCATCATGATAATTTATTGCAGGGAGAATTATTTTGTTTCGTTATCTCTTTTCATTGTAAGGTGTCACTATTTCATTAAAATTGGTGTACTTATTGTTCAAATAAATATGAAAGCTTGTCTTAATATTTAAATGTTTTTTGGTGTTTTAATTCTTATTATTTTCATCAAAGATTATCAGAATTTCGCACAATTCTTCAGGTTTATCGATCTTCGAAAAAATAGTTTCGAGACATCATTTGGTACGATTCTTGATGAAAGCTCTGAAAGAATGTGCCTGTAGTCGACTTCATGGATTTAGTCCTTATAAGTTTTTTTCAATGTACTCTGTCAGCATTTCCTTCATAATATCCGAAAATTCCATCGAATCACTAACATAGATGTTAAAATGTCTTCAAATTCGTATGATCTCGGCTTTGCTCAACTGCTCCATAATATACATATACAAATCATAAGACTTTGAGTAGTAATTGTATAAAATTGTCATATCAATTTCAGACTATCAAAAAATCATATACAAGGTATATAACATATCTTATCACCATAGGTATATTAGTCAGATTTTTATCATACATCATGCATACATCATATTATTTATCCAAAAAAGTTTGGGAGGGATTTAGAATCCTCTACCCCCAAAAACGTATCACCATGTAGATTTTGAGAATCTTCAAATGGCTTGAAATGATGATCTTCTAGGATGTATAGACCACACCAAATTTTAAAATGATATCTTGAAAAGTGAGCGAGATATTTCAATTGATAGAAAAAAATAATCAACCTTTGACCCCCTGTAGCTCCGCTACTGAAGGAGATCGGACTAATGTTTATATATACTTTTCTGATTAAAATGATGAGATCTATCTCCCATCTCAGTTTGTACCTTACAACCTGAATCACCCTGTATATCTGAGAATTTTTTTTTTCAATAATTTCTTACCCAATCAAGGGGTTCTAACTTGAACGATGGGAATTTGTTATTTTTACAGACCTCTATGAACACAGATTCGTGTATGATGAATATAAATTTGTCATACATGGAAACAAACAAAAATACTCAAACTTGTATCCATGCTGTTTTTATCGAAATGGATTTGTATTATAGAGAAAAACATTTTTTCTCCGATTGGCAGCAAATATTAATTTTGCTGACACATATATCAATCAGCAAAGTATCACTTTTCCTGCCTAGGCAGCAAAGTGGGTACTTTGCTGCCTAGGCAGCAAAGTGATTACTTTGCTGATTGATATGTATTAGCAAAATTAATGATTCACAAATTCAACTCTATATTTTTTGCCACCTCCCTCCTTTCTGGAGGTTTAAGTACTTCCAGGTCGCTATCACTGTCCATTATATAATAATTTAAATATACCGATATATTTTCGCACAACTGTCAGAAATTTCATGAATTGTCAAACTATAATTATTATGGACATTTCCATAGCAACCAACCATTCATTCCAACAACTGCGATTTCTATCAAATTTTATTTTAATTGAACACTACAGGAAAAATGAAGAGATATATATCATTATGAACAATCGGAGAAAAAATTATATGTTCAACTCGGCAGCAAAGTAGATTGACTGCTTTAGCTGGATTCCTAGCCTCGCTACGCTCGGCTATGAATTCATCCTCGGCAGTCAATCTACTACTTTGCTGCCTAGTTAAACAAATAACTATTACATGACGACTTACCTCTTGATTGGTTTTCACATTGGTCCGTCGCTTTGTACATGAACGAGTCGATGAATTTATTCTTGAAGAATAACAATATCGTGGGTAGCAGTAACGCAGAAGCAACCATAGTTATCCCAGAGAAAATCACCCCTGCAATATTGACATTTGCAAGAGCCTTCTTTCCCATTTCCATAGACTTCATGAGTGGTATTTCGATGAAGGGTGCTGTGAACTGCAGATCCAGCTGAAATTCGAATGGTTTATGTATCTGAATAACACCGAGAAAATGTAAGGGGTGATTCTGTGATGAAAATGAAGGTGGGTGTTTGTTATGAAACTCTTTGAAAAACTTCTCCCCGCGAAAGTTAAACCCTTCTGAAAATAAAAAAGGCTTTCCTTTCCTATTTTTGGTACTATTATTATGCTCAAGACACGAACTACTACTAACGACACAACTAAGATATTTTGTGTTTCAACTGTTTTTGGACAAAATAGTTTCTATTGAAAAAACATGGGAAATGCTCAAGTTTTCGAAAAAAACTTCATCAAGAGATATAAAAGTTAATTAATAAATTCGGCTTTTAAGCCACGTTTTTTAAAAGGAAAATTTCCATTCAAAAAAACTGTTAAGAACAATTACTTTAGGGGTTGAATATTTCAGCCCCTTCTAAGCATACTTCAGGGTAGAAAAAATTTTCAAAATGTGTAGTTTTATTGACAAATAAATATTCACCAAGTTTCGTGTCTTCGATATATAGGGAAAATAAAAAAGAAAAATCTCTGTATAGGCGTGTCCCATAATAATAGGCGTGCAATATTTTGGAAGTAGATTCATTGATCAAAAATCAGAAAGAAGTTAGCATCAATATTCTGGGTATATCTTCATGGGTTAACAAGAACTATATATGGAGAACTATAAAAATAAAACGATTCTGAAAATTCTTAGGGTCGGTGAAGAAACATGTACTATCCAACTAAAATATTTTCGTTATTGTGTCAGGAAGAACCGGATTTCCGAAAGTGAAGTCATCTTTGTTATTTTCAATGGGACACCCTGTATTTCATAAAATTTTTGAATTCCTCTCATGATATTGAATCAAATCCATGTATCATATTCAAAATAATTTAAATTTTCCGGTTTTTTTTATTAGCAATTCTTTCACTCTTCTATTGAATATATTATCAGAAGTTCTTGTTCCACAGCGTCCTCTTACGTCTCAACGGTGCATTATTTTCATATGAAGGTAAGTTGATATCAAATGGTGTCTATTTTGGTCTCTAGTTGACCCTGTAGAATGTATGGTACTTTGTTCTGGGACACCTTGTATATAGATCGAGTTATCTCATGAAGATATATATCCTGTATATGTCGTAAAATGATTGGACATTTTGAATGTACAGGGTCCTGCATCTCACCTCCTCCCGTATATATTTTGTTGCACATTTGAGTGCTTCCAGTGGTTACCTACATACTCCTGGAATTTGATTGAAATCGGTTTAGGGATATTCACGTAAAAAAAATATAATAAAAAACTTACATTTTGAACCACTGGTCAAAAACATAAATAACAAAAAAGAGAGTGCCTGCTCAATAAGAGATACATATCATTATGACGTCACACTTTTTTTGGGACACCCTGTATAATGAAAATTATTTTCCTAGTATGCGCCCTATGATACAATTGAGGTCTGCAGAATATCAAAATCCTGACTCAACTGATAACTGAGCGATAGAAGACGGGAGGTGAGATGCAGGGCCGTGTATACTTCACTTTTTATATGCTGATTCAAATAAGTGAATCTACTTCAGAAGTGTATTAAACAGGTTGGCTTAGAATACATGCATTCAGCACTCACTCAGCAATTATTTTTACAATTTGATGAAACTACATGACGTAAATAATTTTGACTGTCGATTCGAATAAAATAGAAGATATTCTGGTGTTATACTAGTATCTGCAAATACATTCGTAGTAATTTTTAGCTGATATAGATACTAGAATATCTCATTCTAATAAAATGTTTGTGGGAAAAGTGGCCTCTTGTAGAACGACGCAACATTTTAGAGTGAAAATACCATCACAAATTTTCGTCCACATATGTCTAGATTCTTCTCATTTAGCCGACATTGACTGGATAAACACAATTGATGTCATTTTGAATGTTGGCGACATTTCAGTCACATAAATGAAAAATGTCTAAAGGCTCGCATAGTAAACTTTTTTAATGATAATGGAACTATACACGATTACCAATATGGGTTTCGTGCTGGTATGGCTACCAGTGACGCAATGTACAATGTTATCAAAAGTATTATTGAAAGACTTGATGAAAACAAAAAATGTATTGCAGTGTTCTTAGACTTGGCAAAGGCATTCGACACTGTTGATCATGAAATACTGCTTGATGTATTGGAGCGTCTTGGTATTCGTGGTGCAGCGTTGGATGTCTTTCATAGTTATTTAGCCGATCGCAAACAGTGTGTCAAAATCAATGATACAATAAGTGAAACTATGACTGTAAAAATGGGAGTCCCTCAAGGAACCGTTCTTGGCCCAATACTTTTTCAAGCCTATATAAATTCATTGCTCTGTTTAGAAGTGAACGCAAAAATTATATCATACGCCGATGATACGGTTGCAATTTTTAGTGGAAATACATGGTCTGAAACAAAAAATACTGTCCAGTTAGGCATGGAAATGATTAATAAGTGGTTGAGTATGTATCGTCTCTCACTAAATGCTAGTAAAACCCACTATCTCGCACTCACTATAACAGATACAAATAGACCAACATTTTCCAGTATTGAAGTTCCAGGTATGAAAGATGAAATCAAGGAAACAAACGAGATCAAATATTTGGGCATAATTATTGACAGGAATCTCAGATGGAACAATCATGTTGATTATTTAACAAAAAAAGTGAGGAAGCTAATATATAAATTTTACCAGTTACGACAGTTCTTGTCGAAAAGACTACTTATATTAATTTATAAGTCTCTAGCTGAATCACTATTTCGATATGGTATTTTGGTGTGGGGAGCAATGTATAAAAATTCTCTACAAAAATTAAATACAATACAAAATTATATTCTGAAAATAATTTTCAAAAAACAGAGATCTTTTCATACTAACCTTCTATATACAGAAGATATAAGTAATATCAGAACATTATATTTTCATAGTCTATGTATGTATGCATTCAAAAATAAAATACTTCATAATTCTTTTCCCACAGCATATTCGACTAGAACCACAACAAACAAATTGCTACCCACCCCAAAATACAATAAAAGTGTTTGTCACCGTTTCTTGACTTACACTTTGCCTAAAACTTGCAATATTTTACCTTTGGAGTTGAAACAAATAAGAAATCATAAAGCATTTTCTAGAGAATCGAAGAAATTCATATTCGAAACATTCGAAACATCAATAATTCTATTTGCACTATGTCATAGCTTTCTGCATACAACTGCAATTGTGAATTGAATGATATTGATCTGTAGCAC